TTTCTATCGCAATCCAAGTTGAATCGCCAACATTGAAATGGTGACAGTCGAAAATTATTTCCGCTAAATCAACATTGAGTTTGAAGAGTGACTGATGCTTTCAACAAAAATCAGCCAAAGAATTTCAACCTTCTTGCCCCTTGATAAGCCAGGACTATCACCGTCGACGATAAACGCTGTGAATGCCTTTCCAGCCGGTGCTTTTGGATCCGGATCAGTTCTAGCCAAAACGAAGAACCATTTCGCATACCCACCACCGGTTATCCATATTTTAGTGCCATTCAACACATACGAATCACCTGAATTGCTGCGCTCTTTAATAGATATTTCCAACATCTAGATAAATACACGCTACACATTGACAAATAGAATCGCTTGATTGAAGAATCCATAAGGTTTGCATTTTGATGGATCTTTTCCCTGACGTGATACAATGAGAGAAAAAACAAGAATGTGCATAGCGCAATTTTGCAATACTGCATCCGATGCATTCAGTATCAAAACAGATATTCACCGAACCTTTCTTTTCAGCCTTTGTTCTGACGGCCGCAACGTCTGATCCTGCGCCAGGCTCACTGACACAGTACGCCTGAAATTCGGAAATTATTGGATACAACTGAACTGTCGATCGTGCAGTGTTCCATATGACCGAAAGGATTTGAACATATAAACCGTGCGATTCGTCGGAAAAACGACCACGCCTTGATCATAACAGGAATGAATGAATATCCACTCTCACGATGATCAAACGGTTCAAATGGATTTTCGAAACGAGAAAATGAGTAAAGGAAATGATGGCTCTGTCGCTGGAGTATTCGACAGCGAACGCGATTAGTTAAAAATATGAGAGGAATGTTGATGTTGATTACATTATGTAATGATATTCAACGATATAATATGAACGTCTATCTGAATATTGGTGTACACATACAGCGATTAAAGGTTCTGCAGCTAACATGCCAAGATATTTCATCTTCTGCTCTTCTGTTCCGGCCAAAAGAACCGGTGCAATAGGTAGCGATGGTCCCATTATATTCAGTTGAATGGCTGTGCAGCCATAGGCGAGTGCCTCTGTGATGATCACCGTGTCGAGACATGACAACTCTGGACCGCCTTAAACATAAAGAACGAAGTTAGCACAGTAGTACACAGTTATTGAGAGTTATTCTGATATCGCGATGGTGCGCTCGAGGAATGCATTGATTACTACTTTAATCTGAACGAGTGCTCAATTCAACATGTTTAGACATGATGGAATTTAGCATTTGAATTTCACACAGGATATAACTTCTCCATTGTAATAGAATCGTGAACGATAATGTAAGAAGGTCATTAAGGCTTCTTCCAGACCCAAAATTCAACAAGATCATGAACGAACCGTATTTGGCCGGTAT